TTTTAAGACCTTCCTTGCGACAGTTTGTTCAATGAATCACTGCCGTTGTTAAGTGAGTAACTCGGTTGTTAAGTGGCTTCCCCATTGATTTTGCTTGTCAGAAGGTCGCAAAAGGGGGAAATTGCAGGTCATAAATATGAGTCAGTGGCCAAGCGTCTGAATTTTGATCTTGTGACCATGCTGGAATGCTGTCAGGATTCCAGCAATCGCTCTGATTAAATCATGATTCTCGAGCCAAACTTCAAAAAACTTCAAAGGATTCATTAGAGGCGACATACTGGCCCTGCCCTGTATGAAGCCAACTCCGGCATACGTCATTGACAGTCCCGTGACCCTGTTTCCCCCCTCCCCACTGGGTGTGTCATAAATCACATTCTCCAATTGAGCACATCCACAGGCTGGGTGTCATCAATTACGTTCTCCAATTAAATATATTCACGGGCAAAAGCTCTGGTAGTTTAGTTACAATCTTTTAAAGCTAAGAGTTGGAATGTGCTTTCGCTTCCAAACCGCTGCACGGCTCTTCCAGATTTCCTTCCTCCTTTCCCCCTTTTTTTATGGCAACTCCTAAAACAGGCATAGGATTGTTTTATGAGTTGACAGATGCTACACTGGTCCTAAGTGTGAAAAACATTCCTTAAGTCACTTTTTGTTTTCAGTGCCTTTGTAACTTCAGTCACTAAAGGAACTGTTGTAAATTGAGGACTGCTTGGATCACCTTTAATATATATTAAAAACCATTATTTCTGCCGTAAGAATCGCTGCTGACTCCTTAATCTCCTGCCTTTCCATTCTATGCCGTCTTCATTTCATGGCACGTTATCAGCTAAGTTGCATTCTCTAAGAAGCCAGATCCAACACAGTTTAGGAAATGCAACTGGTTAATCCTCTCCCACAGCCAAGAACTGTTACGACCACAATGGGGCCCAACATTTATGTTATTAACTGACACATATGATAAATGAGTTACTCTTTCTATTCTTGTTTATTTTCTATGGACCTTCTCCTGACAAGGCTTATAATTCTTCATCTAGAACTCTACCCTTCCACTATACAGGTAGTCCTCAAGTTACGACCACAATGGAGCCCAACATTTCTGTTGGGAAATGAGACATTTGTTAAGCGAGTTTTCTCATTTTATGACCTTCCATCCCACAGTCGTTAAGTGAATCACTGCAGTTGGTAAGTTACTAACCCGGTTAAGTGAATCTGGCTTCCCCCACAGACTGCTTGTCAGAAGGTCTCGATAGGGCATCACAGAACCTCAGGCCACAGCAATGGTCGTCAATATAAGTCAGTTGCCAAGCATTTGAATTTTGATCACATGGCCCACAGGGATACTGCAAAGGTTGTAAGTGTGAAAAACGGTTGTAAGTCCCTTTTTTCAGCGCCGTTGTAACTTTGAATGGTCGCTAAATGAACTGCTGTTAAGTCAAGGTCTACCTGTACACACAAGAGTTTAGGTAGTCCTCGATGAATAACAATTCGATTAGTGACCAAAGTTACAACAGTGGCAGGAAAACGACCTTATACAGGTAGTCCTCAACCTATGACCACAATTGGGCCCCAAATTTCTGTTGCTGAGTGAGAAATTTGTTAAGTGAGTTTCGCCCCATTTTTACGACTTTTCTGCCGCGTTTGTTGAATTAGCCGCACGGTTGTTAAATGAAACTGGTCCCCCCCACCGACTTTGTCAGAAGGGTCACCAAAGGGGGCCATGTGACTCTGGGGCACTGCCACTGTCATAAATATGAGTCAGTTGTAATCCCCCTGGGGGAAAAAGACAGGGAAAGCAACGTGAAGGGTTGAGAAAGCTGCCACATAACATCGATGGGGAGAATTGAGGGCGGCCCCGTCAGAGCAAGAGGTGAGCCTGCATTAGATAAACCATCGCCAGTCCCTTTCCAAGCACTTGCTAAAATCGAGCAGTGAGGTGTTACAGGAACCTTCATTCTTATGTGTTTTAAAGCAGGGGTCTCCAACCTTGGCAACTTGAAGCCTGGCAGACTTCAACTCCCAGAATTCCCCAGCCAGCTTTGCAATTTCTTTGCTGGCTAGGGAATTCTGGGAGTTGAAGTCTGCCAGGCTGAATGTTGCTAAGGTTGGAGAGCCCTGTTTTAAAGGAAAGGAAAAGAAACAGGAAGATAAAGAGGAGAAGTGAGGCACTTTGGGGAGTTTGGAAAGAATTGCAGGCAGCCTTTCACTTACAACAATTCATTTAGCAACCGTTCTAAGTTACAACAGCACTGGAAAAATTGACTTATGACTGTTTTTCACACTTACGACCGTTGCACCATTTCCCCATGGCCACGTGATCAAAACCCAGGCGCTTATGGTTAGAGATAAGAGGTAGAAATAGCAAGAATGTTCAAGAATAAATCCGAAAAATGTTGGAAATGTCATCAGACACCTGGCTCATATTACCATATGTGGTGGACTTGTGCGGATGCTAAAAAATACTGGACTAAAATCCACACGTGGTTGGAAAAAATGCCAAAAAAACATATAGACTTGAAACCAGAGATATTTTTATTGGGAATTTTACCTGAAATATATAGTAAAGACTTGAACTACTTGATTGTAAATGTATTAACAGCGGCTAGGATTGTATTTGCTAAAAACTGGAAAAATGAGAAAATACCATCACAGGAGGAAATCATTAAGAAAATATAGGAATGTGCTGAAATGAGTAGATTGATATTTGAAATTAGAGAACAAGAGGATAAACAATTTTATAAAATTTGGGATCTTTTCTATCAATGGTTAGACAATAAAATATAGTAATGAAATATGTAGACTTAGAAAATAATAAATATATAAAGATGTACTTCTTTCTTATTATATCTACAAAATGATTTTAGGATAGATTTGGGATGATAATATGAACTGTTATAAAATAAACTAAGTAAATTATGATTATCTTGTAAAACATGAATGAATAAAAGTATAGTCAAATGATTAATAATGATACTAAAGTATTTAATTTTTGATTGACAATATGAGATTATATGCAATGTAATTGTAATTGAAGACTACGAAATGGAAGCACAAAAACAATTTGTAAACCAACCGGCACACTGTATGTACACCTATGGAAGATAGCTTGATGTTTTTATGTTTTGTTTATGTCTGTTTTTAAAAACCAATAAAATTTTTTAAAAAAATTAAAAAAAGAAATTAAAAAAAAAGAAATTAGATGCAGAAAGATTATTGTTAGGTAAGAATTCAACACAAAGAGGGTCGACAATTATAAACATGTTGATCTAATTAATAGAACTACTGTATAAATAAGCTAATACAAAGAAATTCAGTTAAAATTATTTTGTTATACTATCATTGTTGTTATAAGTATATGTGTTGATAGTTCTGTTTGTTTTTTTCTTTTGCTTTTTTGTAAATGACATGCCCTGACAATACACTGTATTCAAAATGTTCATGAATAAAAATAAAACATATACTCAAAAAGAAAACAAAAACAAACAGATGCTTGGCAACAGATTCACATTTATGACGGTTGCAGTGTCTTGTCCCTTTTGCGACCTTCTGACAAGCCAATGGGGAAATCAGATTCACTTAACAACCGTGTTACTAACTTGATTTCCTTAAGGTGAGTCCCCATCTCTGTGGTGGGGGGGATGAGTCTGCCTACCGAGATGAGGTGGACCAATGGTTGCTTTCGTGGTGTGGAGATCACGAATAAGACCAAGGAGCTTATAGTGGACTATGGAAAGAACAGATCAGACCTCCAGCCCTTGCTTATCCATGGAGACCGAGTGGAACAAGTGGCCAGTTTTAAGTTTCTGAGTGTTACCCTAAAAGAGGACCTGACCTGGGGTGCTCACATTGCAGCCCTGGTCAAAAGGGCCCAGCAGAGATTCTACTACCTGAGGCTTCTCAGAAAACTACTGAATGAGAAACTGCTGGTGACCTTCTACCGCTGCACCATAGAGAGTATCTTAACTCACTGCACCTCTGTAGGGTTTGCCAATTGCACAGGGGCAGATAGGACAGCACTCCAGAGGGTGAACGTCATTGCCCAGAAGATCGTGGGTTGCCCTCTCCCCTCTTTGGAAGAGCTTTATAGCTCCTGCTGCCTTAAGAAAGTTCAAAACATTCTCAAAGATTTATCCCATCCTGGGAACCCTTTTTTTGAACTATTACCACCTGGCAGACGGTACAGAATATTAAAAACAAGGACAAATAGGCTGAAAAACAGCTTCTATCCCAGGACAGTAGCTCTTTTGAATTCTGCTGTATAGTGCAGGGTTGGTGTGGTGTCAGGGGGTTTTCAGTTCAATGTGTGAAGGATGTGTGTTTGGGTCTATTTTCATGGTCATGATGTGCACTGAAGAGGGTGTTTGATTTCGTTGTATGAAGTGCTACGACAATAAAGTAAACTAAACTAAACTTTTGCGACCTTCTGACAAGTGAAGCCAGATCCGCTTCACAACTGGGTTGCTGACTTTAAGTGAATCTGGCTTCCGCACTGACTTCGTCATGTTTTACTCACTTAAGTTCAGTGAAACCCTGCAGCGATCCACTTAACGACCGTGGCGAGAACGAACGTTCACTTACTCAAGTAAGTTCAGTGAAATCACTGCAGCAATCCACTTAACGACCGCGGAGAGAAAGGTTCCGCAAGTGAGGTCAAACTCATTTAACCAAGGTCTTGCTTAGCGACAGATAATTTGGGGCTGAATTTAGGTCGTAAGCCGAGGACTACCTGTCCAGAAATTAACTGACGAAATAGGAAATCAGCTACAGAAGTTCACCCACTTAACGGCCGTGGCTAGAAAGTGCTGCAAGTGAGGCCAAACTCACTTAGCCAACATCTCGCTTAGCGACAGGTAACTTGGGGCTGAAATTTAAGTCGTAAGCTGAGGACTGCCTGTACCTGCCCAGGAATTAACCGATGAATGAGGAAATGATTGACAGAAGCTCAGGCCCCAGATTTTAGGGGTTATGACCCCCCCCTTCCAGCCCCCCCTCCCTCTACTCACCATGTAGAGCAGGAAAGGGAGGATGAGCAGGAAAATCCAAGTGTAGAGATGGAAACAGTTGGAGAAAGTGCTCTGATGCGGGTCGAAGAACCAGCCGCCGGTCAGCGAAGCCCAGACGCCCTGGCGTAAGATCTGGAGCACCTGCGACCCCATATCCACGGCGGGGCCTCCTCCTCCTCCTCTTCTTCTTCGCCCTCTTCTTCCTCCTCCTCCTCCTCCCGAGGGAACACCACTGGCCAGCTGGCGCTCCCAGGGGCCTTCATTAAGGCAGCTTGAGTCCCATGATCTGGAAGGGCTGGGGAATCCAGAACCCGCCGCCTCTGCCCCTCCGGGGTCCCGGGAAGTGGGGAGGCCCACCAGCCCTTCCTGGGCTGCCAAGGGCTCTCCAGGGGCCCCGGACGACCCTGCAGGGCTGGCAGGCGGAGGGGAAGCTGCCCCCCCACAATTTGGGGCACCCTCTTCCGGGTGCCGCTGCTCCTCTTCTTCAGGCCCGCCCCTCACGCCATGGGGGCGTCCCGAGGAGGACCCAGGCAGGGTAGCCACGCAGGGGGTTCTGGGAGGGGAGGCCGCCCCGCAAAAGGGGGTCCGGGGCAGCAGGGGTGACCAGTGGCCCCCAACACTGCCTACAAGGGGAGGCCCCTCCACGCCTGGGCCATGAGAGCCTCTGCCAGGGTTGCGGGGGGTGCTATAAGGCCGGGGGGGCGCAGGGAGGAGGCTCCGCTTCCAATTCCCGGGGGTCCCCTGGGGAAACCGGGGGGCACCATGAATCCTTTAACGGCCCCCGAGCCGCCCCCTCCCCTGAGTCAAACAATTCCGGGGTCTCGTTCACTTCCGGGGTCAAGGGTCAGCCCCGCTTGGCCTTAAGGAGCCGAGTGTGGAGGGCGGCTGCGGGGAGAACTCTCGGCGCTCGCACCTCATCGGGGATTGGGGGGGAGGCCGGAAGAAGCGCCCGAGCAGCTGCAAGGAGAAGCGGCGGCACTGCGCATGCGGGGTCCCCTCACGTCCGCTTTCCGAGACCGGAAGTCAAGGCGGAAGACGGAAGGAAGAGGGAGGGACTCGGCCGCCTGGCCGCCTAAGAGCTATGAAAAGAGCAGAGGGGGAGAAAGAGAAAGAGAGACGGGGCGACGTGAATCCGAGTTCAGGTTTTAATTGGCTCCCGTCAATTAACATTCTCCTATTGAGCAATTTGCAATATGCTGGAGGCAGAAATGAAGCAAAAAACCACTTTTCCCTAAATCGGAGCAGATGAAATTCAGATGTGTTTTGTATTTCATTTTTGTGTTTTTAAATTATTTTCTATTGAAAACGTCTGATGTGTAGTTTTTAGACAGTAAACAGGTTCAAAATTATATATGAAATATCTATTTTCCCATCTTTCATATATTATTTTGAACCCGTTTGCAGGTTCATATATGTGTATATGTGTGTGCGTGTGTGTTTGAATATATATGTGTATACTGTATGTTTACACACATACACACGTCTATATTAATAGTAAGAAAGCAAACAGATGGGTGTTTATATTTACATGCTGGTTAATATTAAAAAATAGGACAAAAATAATCCTCTAAATGAAAATAAGCAAGTTAAACATATATAGCAAAGGTATATATGTGTATGGATGTGCACAAGGATACTACATAAAGAATAAAGAAGATAAACTGTATGGAAGAAAATGTGTGTATTATATTTGTGCTGTTTAATGACCATAATAAAGTTGAGAAAAATATGAGTAGATAAATAGTGCACAAGAAAGCAAAACTGTGTGCACTATATCCATCTTATGCATTTTACATATGTGGGTGTGTATTTCACTAGATAAGAGTAAAATCTTATACTTTATATGTAAAAATATAAAAGTATGCACAGATAGAATTTATGAAAGCAAAGGTATGTGTTGATAAATAGCACAAAATATGCAAAGACTATGTGAAAGGATATAAACCATATGCCATGCATATTGAGAGAGAATAAGCAGGTAAACATTATCAATTGAAGTATAAATGTGTGTACTGACAATACTAAAATACATTGCAGGATTATGGATGTTCTTCCTACAAATATAATCCAGCCAGCATTACCAGGTTGGCGTAAATTGTACTCCTACAATTCAGTCCAATTCAATGCAATCGTGAACAGGCTGCACTTAAACGATACTATTGGGCAAGGATGGTAAAATATCAGTTTCCACTTTCCTACCAGTGAGAAAAACAAATATTTCAAAGTCGTTAAAGCAACCCAGAAACATTCCACCCAGATAATGAAATGACCACCTCTAATTTACTATCTCTAGGTGATAACCCTTCCTACTGTCTGTCCTAACAGACTTCACGCTTCCTTATCCACCGTTTAAAGGAAACGGTGGTGCGCGTGCGCAAAAGACTGCCACGGAACAAAATGCGCATGCGAATCAGCTCGGCCGAGGGAAGACAGGCGGACTTGATCCTCCAAGGGAGACCCTGATGACAGTGCGCATGCGTAAATTTTTGACGTCAATTGTTCTGGTAACTTTACTACAAAAGGGCGGGCATTTAAGCATTATCCTACTTGCTATGGGTCCGTTCTCATTGAATGGCGATCTTCTCCCCCAATGAGAAACGAGTTTCAATTCCTGGCTTTGCAAGTCACGAGCCGTAGCTTGGTTCTTGCTGACACTATATATTAAAATTAATTGCAAAATTTCGATATAAAGCCCCAGGACGGCCTGAAGGTCTCCAAGATGACCACTAGATGGTAGCAGAGATGCAGAAAAGAAACTTTGCCACCATCTATTGGTTGTCTCAAATTTTGCATCCCCAATAATTTTTATTTACCGTAGCTATTTTTAAATACTTACTAAGTAACCTGTCATAACTGTTGCATCCTCATTTCGGAGCTATTTCCATAAGCGAAACACCAAAGCAGAATGATGACGGGCAAAATATCAGTGGGAGACTTCTGATTCCCTAACAGCTTGACCACTATTGACCGGTGGTAGCTGATGGAAGGACCTGGGCTAGGCATCAGTCTACTAAACCTCTGGGCAAGGGCTGTGGCCATGGGGCAGCGCCGAAGCAACCACAAACACACACACACACA